CGAAGGGGTTTCGAGGACGAAAACCACCCCCAAATCGGCACAGCACCCCCATATATATATATATATATATATATATATATATATACATATATCCTGGCTGTGTTGGTTGTATCTGTGCTCTAGACACAAGTTCAAGTTGACTGCAGTTGGCAAGTTGGGTTTTTATTTTACGGATTCGCCCGGATTTCTTCGGGGGTGTGTGGAACAGCGGCAACTCGAAGGGGGAACCGGATAATTTTCATTTTGTGAATGCCGGAAAAACGCATAAAATTTTACGAGCCGAGCTCGGAGAACATTAAAGGGGACGACGATGGCGATGACTACGACTACAGACAGACAGAGAGACTGAAAAACAGAAAAACAGACATGAGCTTGGCAAGCAGAAACCATAGCTAACTTTTTGGCGCGCTAGCCTGTGTAACCTCTCTGTATCTCTTTCTGAACACTGAACAAAAATTAAGGAAATTTAATGAATTCTTTAGGCAGATTTTAAAGGGAATCGGAAGTAGAAGTTTATAGGGGCTTATATATAGAATTCTCCACAGATTCTACGAAGAGATCCTTTTGATATTAAACCCCAGTGATTTCCGAAACAACCACGCATATCCCCTTTGTTTTTTCGTTCAAATATAATATAAATCTAGCTTAAGGGCTCAAAATTAAAAAGATACATTTAAAAAACCGCCTGACTATCCGCTCTTCAACAAAGATCACATTTCTTCACGTGCATCCCTTTTAATCTCTCTCTTTCTAACCTGCAGGACTTTCTTTATTTTCCTTTTTGGCATTTATTTTACTTTTGGCTTTTCTCTGTTGTTACACGAGTTGATCATTAGCAACTTTTTGGGGAAGGCATTAGAGGGAAATAGCAGCAGCAGCAACAGGAGCGTAGCTCAACCGAAAAAGGGGACTTCTGTCCTTGCAACCGGGCAAAGGTCGCCCCACCGGGACCCACCACTGTCAATAGAAATCGAGGAAAAGCAAAGGGACAGACGCCAGACGCCGTGTACGATAATCGAATGTTTAACGTTTTAATTTGAAAAGCATTTTGGGGGACAGCATTTTGCGCTGAGACAGCACCGACGACCAACGGCCAACTTTAATTAAAGATTCAACGATAACGCACTGGAGAGCTCTGCCAAGAGCTCCTAGAGCTTACACATTCCTCTGTGTCTGGCCATAAATTTTCCATAAATGGCCAGTGGAAAATGGTATCCGGGGGAAACCCAAAATCAGTTGATGAAAACCCATCTCATCGAATTGTGTGCGCAAGCTGGAAAATAGTTCTCATTTGCTGAGTGATTATCTTGAAACAAATTTTGATTTGCAAATTCCGCAGAGGAAATGCAACTGCTTCAGCGCCAATTTGTGAAATGGGTCAATAACTTGTAAGCCGCTTGGTGCAACCAATTCAAGTGAAATGGAGTGGAGTGGCAGCCGATGTGGAGTGCAGGAGGGCTGCGTAAGTCCATTAACGTTCACAATTACTGACGTCCACTTCAGAGAGCCGGCGAGCAGTAGCAGCAGCCACTTGTAGGGGCTCGGGGGCCCATTGGGAAAGTGGAAAAGTGGAAAAGTGGTAGAGTGGAAAAGTGGCTTTATGACAGCGCTGAAAACACAGCCACTCGACACAAGCTCTGTCTGCGCCGGCCGGTCAAATAATCTATTTTCGATTATCAATTAATTATATTTTCATAAAAAGTCAAACGATAAAGAGCAAACTGCAGGCATGCAGCGATATCTTATCGGGGGTTTATGAGGTGGAGAAGCACCGTGGGCTCTTAGTTGACGAAATAAGACTCAGTCGGCACACTTATTTCTCCTTTGGAGCACGAGAAGGGGTCTCAGTCCGACTGTCAATTCCGATATCTATAATTCCCGCCCGCCTTTCGACATTTACTTCCACGTTTGTTTACCCAAGGCGTCTCTATTTCTTATTTCTTTTTTTTCCTTTATGGGTTCCAAACTCACACTCCGCCTGCATTCCAGCAATTGTTTACAGCGATTGTGGTTTATGCTATAGCCCTATGCCAGCCAGCGAAAAGTTTTTAACAAATTTATTTTGTTTTGGAGCCGTTCCCTGAGTTTTATTTTCCACGTTTTTCACGCCGCGGCACGTTGAACGTGTGAATGATGACTCCGCGCTCTCTCCTCCTTTCAGAAACTCCCACACAACCAAGGCATAGCATACAGTATATAGTATATGGTGTGTAGTGTAGGGTATAGTGTATAGCTGGAGGTGTCAAAAGATCTGCAGCCTCTGACGCTGCATACATCAGCCTAATGAGAGGCTCGTTAATTAGCGAGACGCGGCATTCAGCTCGTAATTTGAGTTACAGTTAGGCCAGGTTTTCCTACCTGGTAAGGTGGCAAAAAAAAAAACTAGTTGTTCGAGGGGGTTTTTAGTTCCGAAGATTGTGTACTTGCAGAGAGGAAAAGATAAAGATTTACGAGCATCACTCGGTAGCAAGAAGAACATGACTGGAGAGAGATCTTTGCTAACAAACTTATGAGTTTTCCAGGGAATGATACTAGCTGAGATAGATTTCCAAGATAGATACTATCTTCTACAGCGGAAGTTGTTACAGGCTTATATCTAAGTGTATAAAGGTTAAGCAGATGAAGATACATAGCTTATATCTTTTATCTGAAGAGAGAGATTCCCCACCTAATTAAGTGATCGATTTTTGGTAATAAAAAACCTATATTCCCTCTAGATCCCTTTAAATTTTCCAAAAGAAATTAACACTTTTAGAAACTCCAACCGAAATGTATCTTAGATGTACTTTCTGTACTGTTTACCCAAACCAGGAACCCAATTTAACGATCAATGTTATTCACAGACATTTCCACACCTAAGTTTCTGCCTTGTCTACTTCAGGTAGCCAGGCAGCTGGGATTCACCCCAACCAGAGCCAAATCTCTCAGATGTTTGGCCATCCATTAGATACTCTCATTCGCAGGCTGTCTAAGTGCCAATTAGTTCACTCTACTGTCATTTTGGTCGTAACATATATACCCAAAGTTTGTGCCACAGACCAACCTCAAAGAACGCCCAAGTCAGAGTCGGAGTCGGAGATGGAGTTGGAGTCGGAGTCGGAGTTGGAGATGGAGATGGACGTGCCCCAAGCAAATATAAACATGCGACTGAGAACACAAATACGCTTCAAACTTTTGACACTTCCTCGACGGCAACAACGACGACGAAGACGAAGATGAAGGCACAGTCCCTGTTTATTGAGTTGTTGCTGTCGCTCTATGCCACCAAATAAGTGTCTACAAATATTTAGAGGCATTTTTTGTTCACTGACTGACTCAGGGAGAAGTAAACAGAGTCGGCCGTGGCAGAGCGTTGCCCAAACAAGATTTATGTGCATATGTAAATTTCTCTAACGCGGCCAGCAAACCGCAGAGCCCAGACCTGGCAAACATTCAGATAGGAAAAATATCCATAAAACATACATCAGCATCTTCCTCCTTCTTAGAGTCGCAGATAAAAAATGTTTTATGAAAATTATAATGCCACCAAAAGGCATATCTCTTCCCGACCAAAAACAATTTAAATAATTTATAGGCAAGTCCAAATTAGAACTTTAAGGCTGAAACATAGCCCGGCGATTGACAATTATCACTCCTAGATACAAAAGTATCTCATTCATAGCAGCAGATACACGATTGCAGTCAGATGAGATGAAGGCAAGCCCAGGGCACAAAAATCATTACACTGGAAGAAAAGCTTAATGAAAAGTTGGAAAAATAGAGAGGAAACATTTAAGTAAACTTTTAAGATTTAGAAAAATCCTGAAAGAGAAAACCTATTGTATTTCTTCATTACAAAAGCAGAAACTCTTGTAAAATATATTGAAACAACATTGAAAAATATGATTTTCTTTGGATTATTAATATAAAAAATTTAGATTTATATTTCCCTCTCATTCTATGTTTAATTTTATGCTTCCCTCTGATATTTATATTTAAATTTTTCTCATTTTCCTTCCTGTGCATCAATTGTGTATGCTAGCGTGTCTGCATCATGACCGGCCACGCCCCTTGCGCCTCTGGCTGCCACTAAAACATAAATTAAACCCTATGCCATAAAGCACATAGAACGTATAGCACATAGCATAGAGAGCAGCATACATTCTTCTTTAGCATTGCAGTCTTTTTTTTGTATATTTTTTTCTTACCTGCCTGTGCCGTGCGCTTTTCTTTTCCGCCACAAAACTCTTTTCTCATGCAGCAATTGTTTGCAAGTACCGTTCCATTCCGTTCCGTCTGGCCATGAGGAGGCAAGCCTGGGGAGGAGGAGCATTTACATATGGAGAAGGGGCATATGGGAAAGGGTCCGGGTCCGGGTCTCTTGCCTCACTGACTGACAGTTCAATTTATGCTTCCTCGGCACCTTAAATGGGCTGCCAGGCTTCGGCGATAAAGACAAAGATTGCAGCGTCGTGTTCGGCGCTGAACTGACGATAAAATGCACTTAATGCTCCGCGAAATACTTTGCCCAGGAAAAATAAGAAATAACCGATGGAGGAAATCCAAAGAGAACGAACGAACGAGCGAAGCGAATTCGCGGAGCTAAGAAAACGCATTAAGGCTAAATGTATCTTCCGGATATATTATGCATATTTATGGAATGCCAGCCAATATGGTTTCACCCAGGCAGATCGATAACTTCTTCGGGCGATTTTGAGTGTCTTGTGGAACTCCTGCCTCAACCCTCGCTGCCCGAAAGAGTATTAATTCAATTAGTTTATGGCCCCCACACTCAGTTCATGGCTTCAATCGAGATCCACTGGCTTCCTTAATAAAACAGTGAGAAAAAATCTTACAGATATCATAACTACTCAAGTTAAACTTCACATTCTCGTAAATGAATTAATTAAAGCTAAAGATTATCTCCTAAAATTATTAAGATTTCACCACAGTATTTTCTCTCAAATTTTGTACAAGTGCATCTTTATTAACATTATCCTCCGTATTTATCCCACTTTCAGATCTCGACTCGGCCAATGTGCAGCTGCTGGGCAACAATCGCAACGAACTGCTGCTCAAGTGCCACGTGGAGGGCGCCTCCGGGGATCAGGAGCCGCTCCAGATCGAATGGTATCGCAACAGTGCCAAGCTTAGCAGCTGGATGAACGTCCAGCTGGATCAGCATCGCCTGGTGGTACGTCAGCCCACTGCCTCGGATGATGGCCTCTACCGTTGCACTGCCTCCAATGCAGCTGGCCGAGTGATGAGCAAACAGGGCTATGTCTATCAATCGAATTTAAAATGTCTGCCCAGGCTGCCCAGGAGGAAGAACCAGAAGCTACTGGAGTCCTGGAATAAGCAGACTTTCCTGTGCCGTGGAAAGCGTGGAGGATCCGGTGGAATAGAGTCATTGCCTGCTGCTCCCGAGGACCTGAGGATTGTCCAGGGACCCACTTACCAAGTGGTCATCAAGGAGGGTGAACCGACAGCTTTGACCTGTCTCTATGAACTTCCCGCCGAGCTACAGAATCAGAGGATTCAACTTCGCTGGCGCAAGGATGGCAAAATCATGAGGCAAGTGGAGTTAGGCGGATCGGTGCCCATTCCGGGACACTCCTCTGACTCTGGCAAGGATGCCCTGCTCAGGGAAGACGCCCGTTTAGTGCTTCACAAGCAAAATGGAACCCTGAGCTTTGCCAGCATCATAGCCAGCGATGCTGGGCAGTATCAGTGCCAGTTGCAGTTGGAGGGACATGCTCCGATCAACTCATCACCTGGCATCCTGGAGGTCATTGAACAACTGAAGTTTGTGCCGCAGCCTACGTCTAAGAATCTGGAACTGGATGCAGTGGTGGCCAAGGTGCATTGCAAGGCCCAAGGCACACCGCCACCACAGGTGCAATGGCTAAGGGTGAGTGTTATTAGGAGAGAGATTTAGGGGATGAAAATGGGAGGCAATTTAGGGTATTTTTAAGTGTTTCCTTATCTTTTCTATTACCAAATTGAGTTAGGTTTATAAAGATATTAAATCTTATCTTATTCTTAAGATATATCATCAGTTTTATCAACACCTATTTTGTTCTTTATACTTACACCCATAGATCCCACAAAAAACCCATACAATCCATACCCCGAAACTGATTGATTCCCGGTTTATTCAGACCTCATCGTTCTGAAGGTGCTGCCTGGTACTTCATTTTGACAGCTCTCTCGAATGCTACAATGCCTTGTGCTCTTCTCCCTTTGCCCAGGGATATGATGGCCACATGTCACATGACAAATTGAAAAACGCGAAATGCGCCGCTGGGCAAACTTTTCCTTGCACAAAACAAACCGTTTCATATGCAAAACTCTATTGAGTCTAAGCACCCTTCTCTTGGCCCATTCCAGTTACCAGTTTGGCAGTTACCAGTTCCCAGTTCCCAGTTGTCCATTGAGCGTTTTGTGATGCCAGATGTTGGCCATGGCCAACCAATTTCGGCAACTGTTTGTCTATTTGGACCGGGCCAGGTCTAAAAAAGATGGGGGCCGAAAAGCCTTTCAAAAGAAGTTTTTCATTTTGCCGAAAAACAAACCCGGCTCAAACCTGTTCAAAGAGTGTGCGTAGTTGTGTTTTCCCTTTTATTTTTCACGTTGTTTTGTTGAATTTTTGATGAAACGCAAAGGGAACACGTTGGCAAATTGGTTGGCAATGGTCACATGTCTATCTCTATTTCCTGATACACACTGGAGGAAATTCCGGGGTTCTCAAGCCTTCGTTATTAAAGATTTACAAATTCCAAACAACTTAGAAGTTTCCATCTAATTCAAACTTATTTAAATATTCTTAAATTTATAGATTGATTTATTCAATAATCTGAGTTATAATCAAAGAATTCCCAATTTATTTCCATGCAGGATGGCGTTAATACCTCGCTGCCCGATCAAGTGGAAGTGGATGCCAATGGAACGCTTATCTTCAGGAATGTCAACTCGGAGCACAAGGGCAACTACACGTGTTTGGCCAATAACAGCCAGGGTCAGATTAATGCCACTGTGGCCATAAATGTTGTGGTAACCCCCAAGTTCAGTGTACCGCCAGTGGGTCCCATAGAGACCGCTGAGCTGGGCACTGTAGTGATGCACTGCCAGGCTATTGGAGATCCCAAACCAACCATACAGTGGGACAAGGATCTGAAGTACCTCAGTGAAAACAACACGGATCGAGAGAGATTTAGATTCCTGGAGAATGGAACCCTGGAGATTCGTAACGTCCAGGTGGAGGATGAGGGCAGCTATGGCTGCACCATTGGCAACAGTGCCGGACTCAAGCGAGAAGACGTCCAGTTGGTGGTGAAGACTGCCGGTGATGGTTTTCCGCCCGAGGAAACTGGCGGCGATGGCTTCTTAGTTACACGAGCTGTTCTGATCACCATGACAGTGGCTTTGGCCTACATTGTGCTCGTGGTGGGTCTTATGCTTTGGTGTCGATATCGTCGTCAAGCTCGGAAGGCACGCCTGAACGAGCTGAGCACCAAGGAGGCTGGCGGAGATCAGCCAGAGCCCGCTGCTAATGGCAAGGGCTCCGAGCAAGAGCCATGCCTCTCCAAGCAGCGCAATGGCCACAGCAAATCCCGATCCAAGTCCAGCGGCGATGCCCAGAAGTCCGATGATACCGCCTGCAGCCAGCAGTCGCGAGCCTCCAAGAAATCCTCTCACATTTATGAGCAACTGGCTCTGCCTCGCTCTGGCCTCAGCGAACTCATTCAGATCGGACGCGGCGAGTTCGGAGATGTGTTTGTGGGCAAGCTGAAGGCCACCCTGATAGCAGGTGGTGGCTCCTCCTCACCCTCTGACAAGGATGCGGATACAGAGAAGCAACATAGCAACAGTGAGAATGGCAGCGGTGGCAGTGGGAGCGGAAGCACCACCCTCAGCACTTTGAATGAGAAGCGACGCTCCAAAACCTCAATGGATGACATCGAAGAGATTAAGGAGGAGGAGCAGGAGCAGCAGCAACAAGACCAGAATGGCATTGATCAGTTGGTCCTGGTTAAGGCACTCAACAAGGTAAAGGACGAGCAGGCCTGCCAGGAGTTCCGGCGACAGCTGGATCTGCTGCGCGGCATCTCGCACAAGGGTGTGGTGCGTCTCTTTGGGCTTTGTCGTGAGAAGGATCCCCACTATATGGTCCTCGAGTATACAGACTGGGGTGATCTCAAGCAGTTCCTGCTAGCCACCGCTGGAAAGGTCAACACAGCCACCGCTGGATCCTCATCACCGCCGCCACTGACCACCAGCCAGGTGCTGGCTGTGGCCTATCAGATTGCCCGTGGCATGGATGCTATATACAGGGCAAGGTTTACACACAGGTGGGTTTCGAATCCTTTTAACGTCTCAGTTAGTTTTAATACCCTTCCTTACCTTTGCTTATATTATTCTCCATAGGGATCTGGCCACTCGTAACTGTGTCATCTCCAGTGAATTCATAGTCAAGGTCTCCTATCCGGCTCTCTGTAAGGACAAGTACAGCCGCGAATACCACAAGCACCGCAACACGCTGCTCCCCATCCGCTGGCTGGCGCCGGAATGCATCCAGGAGGATGAGTATACCACCAAGAGCGATATCTTTGCCTATGGCGTTGTGGTGTGGGAGCTCTTCAATCAGGCCACCAAGCTGCCGCATGAGGAGCTCACCAATGAGCAGGTGGTGCAGCGTTCCCATGCTGGAACTTTGGAGTGGACAGTGGCTGATGCCACTCCTGATAGTCTGAGGGAGATACTGGTAAGTAAACTTACTTCGGAAGATATTTTATGAAGATATATTCTTGAAGCCCCAAAAAGTATGCTATGCCTAACCGAGGTTACTTTGAATTTCTATTTTAATTATTTGCCATTATTTATGAAGCTATATTTAATTAAATATTTGCATTTGAGTGATTACTTAAATACCTGCTAACAAAGAGACTAATTTCCGCCATCAATCCCTATCTCCTTTCAGCTCTCCTGCTGGGTATCGAACCCCAAGGAAAGACCTTCCTTCAGCCAATTGGGGGCTGCCCTGAGCAAGGCCATGCAGAATGCCGAGAAGTGAGGCCCAGGACTGACAGAGCGAATGCCAAAAAGTAAATCGTAGTGTTCTCTTTAAAATCTGCCCGAGCATTATTTTCTTTGAACCCTAGTCTTAAGTTTCGATGGGCGCCTGTTCAACATGCGTACTTAAAGGAATATGGATCGATATATATCTATATATATAAAAATGCTCTGTTCGTGTCTACATCCTTCATAGACTCGAAAAGTGCTGAACCGTTTAAGCCCAAATTTTTACACAACATGCGTTGAGGTTCCAGCTCGGTTATTGACTACTTTTGATGTTGATAGCTTATCTGCGGTGGCGAATATATCTATTTTTTTAGCGTTTCCAAGTGCCCCTACTGCTGCGCCATCTACAGGCAGCCAGCTGAATCAAAGCATTTCCTGTCAAACATTCAAAACATATTAAAAGAAGAAACTTGAAAAGTTCTGAACCGTTTATGCCCAAATTTTTAGAGAACATGCGTTGAGGTTCCAGCTCGGTTATTGACTACTTTTAATGTTGATAGCTTATCTGCGGTTGCGTATATATATATTTTTTTTAGCGTTTCCCCGTGCCCCTACTTCTGCGCCCTCTACAAGCAAATCAAAGCATTTCCTGTCAAACATTAAAAACATATTGAAAGAAGAAATTGGAGATACAAATTTTATTTTTTGTTCAGGTTCAGTAAGAAACGAAGTCATGCCACCAAAAAGTCGAGATTGGGTCGTTGTATTCGCAATACAGAAGCAAAAAGACGTAAGATTACGAATATGACTGACGAAGAACGGGCCTCCTTCCGAGAGACTGAGCGGCAGAGAGCAATGCAAATGCACATAGAGGAATCAGCAGAAAGACGAGCAGATAGGCTTGAGAGAAAACGATTAAAAGTTAGGCAGTCGCGTTCTGCAGCAGTCGATTTGATTCACTCTCAAAATAATGAACGCGACAGGGCAAGGGTAGCTGAAGCGCGTTTACAGCTTGCAGCAGATCAAAACCTGTAATTTAGTTACATCGGAAGGAAGAACTTATCCAAAAAGTGTTCCCCGATATCCGAATAAATTATAGGAATCAAGATTGGCTCAGTGGACGAGCGATTCTCGCTGCCAAGAACAAAGATGTCATGTAATCCAAAAAAGCATAGAAACTGACGAAATTACATATAAGTCGATAGATACCGTTGTGGAGGCAGAGGAAGCAGTTAATTACCCTACCGAATTTCTAAACTCACTTGATCTGCCTGGAATGCCACCACACATATTGAAATTAAAAATAGGTGTGCCGATTATCATGCTCCGGAATATAAATCAGCCGAAACTCTGCAACGGTACGCGACTCGCAGTCAAGAAATTGATGAACAACATAGTAGAAGCAAGGATCATAACTGGTCCTTTCAAAGGTGAAGATGTCCTCATTCCTAGGATTCCTATGATCCCGACAGATACACCGTGCCAGTTCAAGAGATTGCAGTTTCCCATTCGTTTGGCGTTCGCAATTAATTAATAAAGCTCAAAGACAATCTCTGGAGTTGTGTTGTCTAGATTTGGATGAAGATTGTTTTTCACACGGACAATTATATGTTGCGTGTTCACGAGTCGGAAAACCAAAAAGTCTTTTTATTTACGCGGAGAATGGAGAAACAAAGAATATTGTATACCAACAAGTATTACAGAATTAAATTAATTTGTAAATGATTATTTTTTGTTTGACTTATTTCTTATGCGTTCAACCACAATATGCCACAAAGAAACGTGGCAGTCCATTTGGAGAATGGTCAACGTGTCTATTTCACAGAAAAAAATGTGCAAGAAAGAGTCCTGAATCGGCCAGCGACAACTCTGACTGCCTTCTTCACCTTATGCCAGGAAGATGATTTTGCCAGAACCTTGATGTATTCAGAAGTGCCCTCTTAACCATAATATGCCACAGAGAAACGTGGCAGGGTACAGCTAGTATAACATATATTAATGGCTACATTTTAACAGTAACTGTACAAAACACACGATATGTAGATATATATATATATATTCGAATAGAGATATCTGCGAAAAAAGTATTTGCGTGGTGCTGCATATATATATTTAAAAACTACTATATATGCAGCTAAAATGTATATAAAAACTGCCACAATATTGCATTTAAAAACCAGTTGAAGCATTTCTAGGATTACAAACATTTTTCACCCTCATCATTAACATTTTATAAGCCATTTTTAAGCTAATTTAGTGAGTATAAATACACATCACAACGAGCAAGGAAAAACTAAGCCAAATTTTAAGTTACACAAACACACCAACACACACACATTTTATTATATGCCTAGTTATATATTTATAACCATATAGAACTAAATATATATAGAATATATGTGCATAAGCCGAAAACAAATTCATGACTAGCCATTTAAGCTTCGATGCATGTTTACAAAACATTTAAATAAACAGAAATAAATAAATTTAACCAAAAAATGCAAAGTCAAAGCTTTATTCTTGAGGGGGAAGGGGAAACCAATCCTCGTTTTGTTTTCCCTGGGTTACTAGTCGTATTTTTTACACAGACTTTTCATTTGGCATGCCAAATTTGTTGAGGGTCCTTTGGGTCCTTTGCCGTACTAAGCAGCAGCGGCGGACTTGCCTCATTCACACTTCACTTGATTTGAAAAATGAGCGCCTATTGAATGGCGGCTGCCTCCGTGCCTCCACATCTTTGCCCCAAAACGATTGACAAACAAACATGGCAATAAACCGTAAAGTTGCCTTAGCTTATTGGGGCTTAAAGTTGCCCCTAGTCTTCGCCCAGTTCCCAGTTCCCAGCGCCTACGTAGCCAAAAAGTTTCCTCGTGCGAAAAGTTTTTCGGCCAGAATCCGAGATCCGCCCGAGCCGTAGCTATGTATATTTGCATTTGAATCAGAGGCAGGCAAAAACAACACCGCTCTTACACAATGAGTTGCCATTTTCCTAGGCTAGCGGATAGCCTGCTTAGCTTTTCCTGGCACGTACAAATATATCTGCCTGTTATGAATATCAAATGCCTCCGAAAAAAGGTTGATTGAACAGTTGGTAGCCGGAAGTGCGGCAGTAGGAAAAATAAAAGGAAGTGTATGTAAAGGGTAAGCAGGAAGGTAAGTATTGGAATGTTGAATTCCCTTTGAATAAGGTATACGGGATTTTCAGAGATTAAGCATTTTAAGCAGATATTAATTAATTATAGATATTTGCAAAAATTTTACTATTTTTAAAATCGTCATATCGAAGATTAAATCATAATTTTTAATACATTTTAATATCATCAGCCCATCACACCATTCCCCTCTCTGGAAAGTTTCTTCCTTTGACAACTGATAAAAGCATTAAGCTCCAACAAAAAAAACCCCCTCCCAAATATGTTATTTCTCCCTTTGCAGTGATATAACTCAACTCCGAAAGCTCGCCTGCATTTGCAATTGGTAAATCTGCCTAGAATAAAGTATATACGGCAAACATGGCGTATGCGCAATGTTTGCAATGCCATGTAATGGAACGACAGCTGTGCAGCGGCAAACAAATGGCAACAAAGGCCTAAGCTTCGGCATCCATAGGAGAAAAACATAAAAATGCCATTTCATATGGCTTTCAATTTATTAATATTTTATACGGGCAGCATGGCAGAAAAGGAATAAATAGAGTAAGAGTGTAACAGAGAGAGAAAATAGGAAAAGTTGGGGCAAAATGGCAAAAATGGCTTTGGCAATTCAGGCGTAAAATGTGCATTACTCATACGCCGCATAGCCCGTGGAATGATGACCTACACCACCAACCAACAAAACATATATAAATTGTTGTGTGTGGCCTTTTACCTGGGCATAAATTGCACATAACATTACGCATACGCACCGATGGCCAGGCTCTGACACAAATAAATTACACATTAAATTTTCGGCAACTGTTTTCAGTTCCTTTTGGAGGCCCTCTGGCAATGCCATCAAGTGACTCGACAGCCAGCAGATTGATGGTGCATCCGTTGCGAAGTTACCTCATTATGAAGTCCCCGAAAAAAAAAAAAAAAACACAAAAACATATTCTCGCATTCATCACAAAAGGCGAAAAGTTTTGCGCGACCCCGTCTACGGCTGACTTCCTGGCATCCTGGCCCATAATTGAGGCACATCGCAGACTCGTTTATAACGCAGGACGGCGTCTCCTCTCCCGGCAATCATATGGCTGCTGCGTGCAATGCAAAATTTTATGGGTTCAGGCTCTGCGTTTTATGGCATTTTCATTTTGCGAAAATTTCTGCACAATTAGTGAGAGCGAAAAACTTTGAATTGTGTTTTTGGGGCATGTCGAATGTGAGACAACGCCAGAAGGAGGAAGCCAGCAATTACAACCGACACAAACTTGATTAATTCGAGCAAAACGAGTAGTTGTAGTAACTTTAATTGCCCTTAACTTGGGAATTATAGCAATTATTGTGTATTTGTGCCGGTAACAATAGCTTCTGCGAATTTAAATAATAATATTTACCCTTAATAATATCTAGAATTTAAGCCTAAGCTCTCCATTACCAAATAAAACTCCACAGTTACAAATAATTCCCTTTCGCAGATCATATTTCTGCGTATTTTCTCTGCATTTGACCCCGCCAGGAGCTTAGGAAAAGGTCAATCGGATGTGACAAAACTAATTAGGGATAAACGAGGGTAAGCCATCCTGCCACTCTTATCCAAGGGCGAGTGATTTGCTCGTGTCAATCCCGGGAACCCCCTTAAAGTTGGCCCAACACTTTGCGTTATTTTGACAAACAGCAGAAGCAGCAGCAGCAGCAACGACGAGACAAAGGCGACATTGAAACGCACACACACCCACCCCACCCACACGCACACCCACCTGGCAAGAGATGGTGTTCTGAAAGGGGTGGAACATGCATTAAACAAACAGCTGAGCCTTTTGTGTTGACTCATTAACGCACAAGCCACGGCCAAAGGGGGGAGCCACAGGGTCTGAGGCACCCCGAGAGAGGGAGAGAAAGAGAAAGCAAGCGAAACGACAGAAATGAAACATCAGGACGAAGCCACCCGCATCCCTCTCGATCCTTCGCTTCAAGTGAAATAAATACCCCGAAGTCATAAAAAGCAAGGAGCAACAAAAACAATGTAAAGGACAACTAGAGATGGCAAAGATTACGGA